CTACCCACCTCCAAGCACCAACCCTTGTTTCCACCTCCTACCCCACCTCCGAGCACAATCCCTTGGTTCCACCCCCCACCCCCTACCCACCTCCGAGCACAAACCCTTGGTTCCACCCCTACCCACCTCCGAGCACAAACCCTTAGTTCCACCCCCTACCCACCTCCGAGCACCATAACTTGGTTCCACCCCCTACCCACCTCCGAGCACAAACCCTTGGTTCCACCCCCTACCCACCTCCGAGCACAATCCCTTGGTTCCACCCCCCCTACCCACCCCCTCCAAACAGCACCATCCCTTGGTTCCACCCCCTACCCACCATCCCCACCCCCTACGAACACCATCCCTTGGTTCCACCCCCTACCCACCTCCGAACACCATCCCTTGGTTCCACCCCCTACCCACCTCCGAGCACAATCCCTTAGTTCCACCCCCTACCCACCTCCGAGCACCATCCCTTGGTTCCCCCCCTACCCACCTCCGAGCACCATCCCTTGGTTCCACCCCATACCCACCTCCGAGCACAATCTTCCTCCTCATCCAGCTGCTTGAGGGTATCCCTGGGCAAGGGGGCCCAAGAGCTATAGTCCCCAAGGACTAGTTGGGTGTGGCCCCTGACCGCCCTCTCCCCTTATCCAGCCCAGGGGGGTGTAGGAGTACTCACAGTGCCCTGTCCTGTCAGCATGGGGGGTTGGTGGCTGCTTTCAGGCCTTACACTGGGCTGGCTCCTTACCTGCTGCTCAGGATGCCCTCCCTTGGAGATGATGGCACAGTGGAGATTCTCTCTTCCAGCGACCTGCCTGTAGGTAGCCCGCTCCCCCCCAGGGCCCCCTCCCACATTCCACACTCTAGCCTCCCACCTCATCTTCCACCTGGCACTCATTGACTCTGCTCCCCAGGCTCTGTGATATTTGAGAGTTGCCCTGGTCACCGTGCTCAGCCTCCTACAAGGGGATTCGCCAAGGTCATTGGCCGGGAGGAATAGTGCCCCGTCATTGGTGTCAGTGGGAGGAATAGTGCCCCATCATTGGTGTCAGTGGAAGGAATAGTGCCCCATCATTGGTGTCAGTGGAAGCAATAGTGAATCATTGGTGCAGTGGGAGGAATAGTGCCCATCATTGGTGTCAGTGGGAGGAATAGTGCCCCATCATTGGTGTCAGCGGGAGGAATAGTGCCCCATCATTGGTGTCAGTGGGAGGAATAGTGCCCCATCATTGGTGTCAGTGGAGGAATAGTGTCCCATCATTGGTGTCAGTGGGAGGAATAGTGCCCCATCATTGGTGTCAGTGGGAGGAATAGCGCCCCATCATTGGTGTCAGTGGGAGGAGCGTCCCATCATTGGTGTCAATAATAGCGCCCCATCATTGGTGTCAGTGGGAGGAATAGTGCCCCATCATTGGTGTCAGCGGAGGAATAGTGCCCCATCATTGGTGTCAGTGGTAGGAATAGTGCCCCATCATTGGTGTCAGTGGGGGAATAGTGTCCCATCATTGGTGTCAGCGGGAGGAATAGTGCCCCATCATTGGTGTCAGCGGGAGGAATAGTGCCCCATCATTGGTGTCAGTGGGGGAATAGTGCCCCATCATTGGTGTCAGCGGGGGGAATAGTGTCCCATCATTGGTGTCAGTGGGGGGAATAGTGCCCCATCATTGGTGTCAGTGGGGGAGGAATAGTGCCCCATCATTGGTATCAGTGGGAGGAATAGTGCCCCATCATTGGTGTCAGTGGGAGGAATAGTGTCCCATCATTGGTGTCAGTGGAGGAATAGTGTCCCCATCATTGGTGTCAGTGGGAGGAATAGTGTCCCATCATTGGTGTCGGTGGGAGGAATAGTGCCCCATCATTGGTGTCAGTGGGAAGAGGGGGAGAGGGAGGGGGGGGGAAGAGAGAAGAGAAGAGAGAAGGGGGAGAGGGAGGCAGAGGGACAGGAGAGGTCATTTTTCAATATTGTATATTATTCCTGTAGTTTCCTATTTTCCCCAGGAGGTGGAGTTCCCCTTTAGGTAAGTGTAGCTGCCAGGAAGGTGAGTATCGGCGGAGAAGGGGAGCACTTTGCTCCGAGTACTGGCAGAGGGGAAGGTATGACGGTGGGTCCCCTCCCCGGGGAAGGTGTGATTGGTGTCCCGGTCCCCTCCCCGGGGAAGGTGTGATTGGTGTCCCGGTCCCCTCCCCGGGGAAGGTGTGATTGGTGTCCCGGTCCCCTCCCCGGGGAAGGTGTGATTGGTGTCCCGGTCCCCTCCCCGGGGCAGGACGTATCAGCAGACGACGATCGCCGTGTATGGGCTGCACTCAGCCGCGACTTCCTCGCCCGCACGCCGCCGCACTGCTCGCACCCCGGACAGGAAGTTCCGCTGAGTGATTCATCCGCAGGATCGGGAGGTCCCTCCAGGGTGGAGGAGAACAGGCGGACGCACACGGTGGGCTCAGCGCGGCTCCCTCTGATTGGCTGCAGGCAGGTAAAATGTCGTTTCCTCGCCGGTCGGCAGTGACAGGCTTGAAGCGGAGTTGGGCTCCACTGTTTCCTGCAGACACTTTCCGGGAGTTCCGGGATCTATTGGGTGCCGGTAATCCCCCTACACGGTGAAGGCCCGACCACACACCGTACAATCTGATTGTATCATTCCTGGCGCAGCCATGAAGCGCAGCATTGTGGCCCCAGCATGTATAGACCCCCGACTCCTGCAAAGGGGGAGCATTAGGGGGCGGTAAAAAATACAGCTCAGCTGCCCATCAACTGCTAATGTGAATGCTTTTAAAGTTTAAAAAACAAAAGGTGATAAAACTTTAGAGGACACGACTCGCCGCGCGCATTGTCATTTAATCCCGACCTTTCACCCTTTTTTTTTTTTCACATTCACACTAGCAGTTGATGGGCAGTAAAACCTAGAGGCAGAGCTGTGTTTTTTACCGCCCCCTAACTCTCCCTCATTAGCTGTAGAGGCAGCAGCTGGGGGTATATACATGCAAGTGGCCACAATGCTGTGCTTCATGACTAGGATCGGAATTATTAACACCCCCACACCCCCCCCCCCTCATTGCTTTTGGCGATCATAGCACCTGTCGAGTGCAACTTATTCAAGAAAATGGGGGGGGGGGGGGGGGACTGCTCTCCAAGCGCCCCACAACCGCATGCAAGGGACACAAGTGCGGGGATCAAGGGGTTAAATCAGGCGGGGAGGAAGCAATACGACGCCTTATCACCACCTGTCCATTGCTCTCTGAAGAGCGATCCAAGCACAGATTACTCTTCAAGCACCAAAGCAAGTGGACGAGCCCTAACAACGCATTGCGTCCTCCCCCCCCCCCCCCCCCCCATGTTAGGATTTTAACCTTTTTGTTTTTCTCAAAATACTGTTTGGATTCCACCGTCCTACTTCCTCCTTTACCTGAGTGGGAGGAGGGGAAATGGATTTTCTTTGTACCGTCCCGTCACGTGGTTGTTGGGTGATCGCAGGTCGGAGACATTCATTGTGTGCTTTTATACACTCGTGTTGTGGGCTCCTCCTGTCTGATCTACAGAAGATCTTCATACAAAAAGAACACAAAGCTGATTTTTATCATTTTTGTTATAGTTCTTTTTTTTTATTACTATTCTATTCTTACCTCATTAAATATTCGTTGGGTTTTTTTTTTTTTCATTATTACTATTCTATTCTTATCTCCTTAAGATAGAATAGTAATAAAAAAAAAAGGAATATTTAATAAGATATGAATAGAATAGTAATAGTAAAAAAACCCAACGAATATTTAATGAGATTAGAATAGTAATGAAAAAAATAAAAAGGAATACCTAATGAGATAAGAATAGAATAGTAATAATGAAAAAAAAAACCAACGAATATTTAATGAGGTAAGAATAGAATAGTAATAAAAAAGGAATATTATAAGGAGATAAGAATAGAATAGTAATAAAAAACAGGAATATTTAAGGAGATAAGAATAGAATAGTAATAAAAAAAAAAAAAACAGGAATATTTAAGGAGATAAGAATAGAATAGTAATAAAAAAAACAGGAATATTTAAGGAGATAAGAATAGAATAGTAAGGTAAAAAAGGAATACTTATTGAGATTAGAATAGTAAAAAAAAAACAGGAATATTTAAGGAGATAAGAATAGAATAGTAATAAAAAAGGAAACTTATTGAGATTAGAATAGTAATAAAAAAAACAGAATATTTAAGGAGATAAGAATAGAATAGTAATAATTAAAAAAAAAAACTAATATTTAATGAGATAAGAATAGTAATAAAAAACAGGAATATTTTAATGAGATAAGAATAGTAATAATTTAAAAAAAAAACCCACGAATATTTGATGAGATAAGAATAGAATAGTAATGAAAAATAGGAATATTTAATGAGATAAGAATAGAATGTTAATAAAAAAAGGAATATTTTTTATTTAAGGAGGTAAGAATAGACTAGTAATAATAAAAAAAACCAACAAATATTTAATGAGATAAGAATAGAATAGTAATAATAAATAATAAAAAAAAAAAATTTAAGGAGATAAAATAACAGATAAGAATAGATAAAACAAACAGATAAGTAATAATAATAAAAAAAACAAGGAATATTTAATGAGAGAAGAATAGAATAGTAATAAAAAAAAAAAAAAGGAATATTTAAGGAGATAAGACTTGAATATTAATAAAAAAGGAATATTTATCTCATTAAATATTAAAAAAGGAAATTATTATTACTATTCTATTATTTCTCTCATTAAATATTTTCCTTTTTTTAAAATTCCTTTTTTTTACTATTATTATTCTTCTCTCATTAAATATTCCTTTTTTTTAATTATTATTACTATTCTATTCTTCTCTCATTAAATATTCCTTTTTTTAATTATTATTACTATTCTATTCTTCTCTCATTAAATATTCTTTTTTTTTTTTTTTGGCTCTTCATGTTTTTTTCATGACTCCATCTGTCTGCACATCCGCAATAAAGGGAGCTCGTGAATATTACATAAGCCACGCCTACAGGAGGTAGCTAGAGTTACCTGTCCAAGGTCTGGCCAGATCCTGCTGGACGATCCCCGGGTCCCTTCTCACTCACCCAGGAGTCGGGGCAGGTAAGTCTTTATCATATCTCATACTAGTGATGGGCCGACCCCCCCCCCCCCCCCCCCCCCCCCCCCCCCCCCCCCCCCCCCCCCCCCCCCCCCCCCCATTATAGTAGCTGTGCGGTCTCTGACCACATACTCAGATGCGGTGCCTTACCTCAATACATTCTCCCTGTTCGAGGTTTGCAGTCAAATTTTTTTAGGTTAGAATGTTCAACCGCAAACAGTATTTCTGCTATGGGGGGAGGGGAAGCGGTTAGGTCGCGCTGTATTTTAGTAGTGAGACATTCATTCATGTCTCGGCTGTCAGTGGGGTTCCCAACTGACAGATGAATGTAAAAAGAATTGTCAGCATTGCCCAACAATTACATTAAAAAAAAAAAAAAAAGGGGTAGGGTCCCCCCTCCAATCCATATGCCCTTCGGGTGATTGGGGATTGGTATGGGGTATGCCAAATTTTTTTTCAGGATGCTGGTTAAATGGAGGTGATCAGGAGTGCCCCTTAAATGGGGTATGGACCTTTATCAGCATGCTGGCCTGGCAGGTATGGAATCAATAGGGTGGGATGGGGAAGCGCCCCCCCTCCTGAACCATACCAAGGGTGTTGGTAACATGGGGTACGGCCTCTTCCCCACAACCGTGGTGTTGGTTATGGGGGTATGGTGGGGCTTTTTCAATGTTGGTATGGGGCCCCCCTCCCATTGGAATGATCAGGGTTACATGGTACCCAATCAAAAAAAAGTGTAGTAAAAAATCAGGACAATGTTGGTATCTAAAAAAAAAAAAGTTAAAACAGTCCCCCGGTGTTGGTAATCACAATGCCCGCCATGATCAGGGTGCTGGTATGGGGTATGGCGGTGATCTGGACAGTTCTTGGTATGGGTGACATAACGGCCAGCAGGTTCCCCCACGCCCCCTGTGATGGGTGTATTGCTTTGGCCATGATCACAATGGTGTTGGTATGGGGTGGTGGTGCGGCAGGTGATCAGGATGCTGTATGGCCCTTTCAAAAAACCGGGAATCATGGTACTTTTGTTTGTATTGGGGTATGGAGTGACAGGACGCTGTAGAGAAACAAAAAAGTCAAATATGACACATTCACCCAAAACATGTCAGGACTCTGGTATGGTGGTGATCAGGACGCTGGTATGGGGTATGGCGGTGATCAGGACGCTGGTATGGGGTATGGCGGTGATCAGGACTCTGGTATGGGGTATGGCGGTGATCAGGACGCTGGTATGGGGTATATGGTGGTGATCAGGACGCTGGTATGGGGTATGGGTGGTGATCAGGACGCTGGTATTTGGGGTATGGCGGTGATCAGGGTGTTGGTATGGGGTATGGTGCCATGATCAGGGACGTTGGTATGGGGTACGGCCATGATCAGGGTATTGGTATGGGGTACGGCCATGATCAGGGTGTTGGTATGGGGTACGGCCATGATCAGGGTGTTGGTGTTGGTATGGAGTACGGCCATGATCAGGGGGTGTTGGTATGGGGTAACGGCCATGATCAGGGTGTTGGTATGGGGTATGGCGGTGATCAGGGTGGTATGGGGGGGTATGGCGGTGATCAGGACGCTGGTATGGGGTATGGTGGTGATCAGGACTGTTGGTATGGGTATGGTGGTGATCAGGACTCTGGTATGGGGTATGGCGGTGATCAGGGTGTTGGTATGGGGTACGGCCGGTGATCAGGGTGTTGGTATGGGGTACGGCATGATCAGGGTGTTGGTATGGGGTACGGCCATGATCAGGTGTTGGTATGGGGTACGGCCATGATCAGGGTGTGGTATGGGGTACGGCCATGATCAGGGTGTTGGTATGGGGTATGGCGGTGATCAGGATGCTGGTATGGGGTATGGAGGTGATCAGGATGCTGGTATGGGGTACGGCCGTGATCAGGGTGTTGGTATGGTGTATGGCGGTGATCAGGGTGTTGGTATGGGGTACGGCCATGATCAGGGTGTTGGTATGGGGTATGGCGGTGATCAGGGTGTTGGTATGGGGTATGGCGGTGATCAGGATGCTGGTATGGGGTACGGCCATGATCAGAGTGTTGGTATGGGGGTATGGCGGTGAGATCAGAGGAAGCTGGTCTCTGGGTACGGCGGTGATCAGCTTCCCATCTACCCATAGACTTTATTTTAATTGAGATTTATAAAAGGCAATAGAAACTTTGTTTATAAAAAATAAAAACGCCAAGTCAGAGAAAATAAAAACCTCTGACTAATACCGGAAGGAACCCCCGAGCTGTCTCTCAATACTTCACAAGTGACATCAGAGTAGCAGCAGAGACGGCACATCACACATCACACACCACACATCACACACACCATACATCGTATCAAAACAATAGGTCATAATACAAAACATAGAAATACAGTCAGCAACTGTCTGGTGTCACCGAGGCGAGAGAAAAGGGGGATAGAAATCCAGCGATCCCAAACCGCATCGGACAAAGGAGGCTTCTTCCAAACCTCATAGGTGAGTTTATAAAGCGGGAGGCCGGTGTTGATCACACGGGTACAGCGGGGGCAGGGACACCTTTCCAATGTCAGCAGAAGAGTCTTTAGTATAAAACGATAGGATTCGCAGTAAACGCTTTTCATATGTAGCATTACCCCCGTAGGAGTTGCAGAGTTTTGGGTCCCCCTATAGTCCTGCGCAGCCACATCCGGCGCTCTCCCAGCACAAAGACAGGTACACAAATATGCGGCCCCCACGGAAAACAGCCCAGTCTGTGAGGCCGCATATTTGTGTGAGGTCGGGGTGAAGGGGTTAATGACCCGCAGGAATCCTTCAGACTCGTGCAACAAATTGCAAAATTGTACCATATATCATATACCTGATGAGATCCATCCAACCAGTGACACCAACAAGAGGACTGCAGAAGAGTAACTATTTTTGTATCACTTTTTATTTCTGTAGGTAATACTGAGTGTTGGCTGACTCCTCCCAGCTATGGTACGTATAAGCAGGCGGCCTGCAAATTAAATATTGTATATGAATGGTAGTAGTCTGAATAGTACGGGAAGGTTATAAATTAATTCCAGAAACTTCAACACAATGGACTAAGAATTCGCATTTCAAAGTAAAAATTGCTAGGTAGCTAATTTGAACATCAGAAAATGCAAAAAAAAAATCTGGAGTCTGCTTGGGTTCATATGCTTTCTCTCTGCACATGCTCAGTTTGGTGTGTATTGCTCTAGAGTTTTTTTTTTGGAGGGGGGGGGGGGGGGATAGTGTATGTGATCAGCACAGGGCCAATCCACACTGTTCAGAGGGTCAGGGGTTCTGCAGCCTCATAGGAGAGTCAGAGGAGAATGAAAACTTCTCCTACAAGCTTTAACCAGTGCTCATCCAGACACTGATAGAAGTCACAAGACTGTTTTTTATACTGCTGATGAGAAAAGGTATTTAGTAGTTTATATTTATAAATAATTGCATTTCCGTGTTCTATCCGGGAGACCGGATATAGTGAATGCAGGGTCCGGGGAGAGCGGATATAGTGAATGCGGGGCAGGGTGAATGCGGGGTCCGGGGAGAGCGGATATAGTGAATGCGGGGTCCGGGGAGAGCGGGGAGAGAGGATATAGTGAATGCGGGGTCCGGGGAGAGCGGATATAGTGAATGCGGGGTCCGGGGAGAGCGGATATAGTGAATGCGGGGTCCGGGGAGAGCAGATATAGTGAATGCGGGGCCCAGGGAGAGCAGATATAGTGAATGCGGGGTCCGGGGAGGGGAGAGCGGATATAGTGAATGCGGGGTCCGGGGAGACCAGATATAGTGAATGCGGGGTCCGGGGGAGAGCGGATATAGTGAATGCGGGTCCGGGGAGAGCGGATATAGTGAATGCGGGTCCGGGGAGAGCGGATATAGTGAATGCGGGGTCCGGGGAGACCAGATATAGTGAATGCGGGGTCTTGGGTTTAGTTACACTTTAAGGGCCAATAAGCGTTTAATATTGCACAGATTTTTGACCTGAACTGAGGACAACTCCAACAGATCTACTCGAGGAGAGCATATGCCTCCCAGATATTTCCTCAACGTGGTTTGAATTTTTTCTGTTATTAGGCTGCTATGCCGGGGAAGCCGGTTGGGTTTGAAGGCTCAGAAGGAAGTCCTGGAGAAGATGTGCGATTGCCATATCCTGAAACATCTGTGAGTCCAACATATGCGGGGTCCGGGGGGGGAGAGGATTGTGTACCGGTCTGCTCATTAAAATGGTTCAGTTTACAAATATAATGGTGAGAAGGTTCGGTGTTTCCTTCCAGCTGTTGGGTAGGTAGAACCACAAGCCAGGAGATGCGTGACGTATCGATGTGATTGTTCTTGCTATGATGGTGGAGTTTCCAAGTATCTCATCCTCCAGTGGAGTTCCAAGTATGTGACTTATCGATGTCATCCGCCAGTCATCTGTCAAGTATCTCATCCTCCAGTGGAGTTCCATATGGGATTATGTACGGGTCTGCTCATCAAAATAGTTCGGCATACAAATTTAATTGGAAAGGGTTCGGTGTTTCCTTCCAGCTGTTGGGTAGGTAGAACCACAAGCCAAAAGACCTGATGTATGGATGTGTTCTTGCCAAGATATATGGAGTTCCACGTAACTCATCCTCCAGTCATCTGTGAGCCCAAACATATGGGACTATGTCTGGGTCTGCTCATCAAAAATGGTTTAGTATACAAATTTAATTTTAGGGTTAGGTGTTTCCCCTTCAGCATTGAATAGGTAGAACAAGGAGACAACCAGGAGATGTATTCTTCTAAAGATGTGCAGTTCCAAGAACCTCTGCCTTTAGTCACATTTAAACCAGTCTTGATAGTTGGAAACCAGCGGTGGTGGGAAAACAACTCCAGTTCTTTGTAGGATCACCTTGATACATCTAAACCAAACCTTGCCGTATTGGTGGCACCCTAAAGAGAGCCGCCCTGAAGATTTGTCTTTCTTATGAAACTCCTATGGAGACCTCGTGCCGTAGAGGTGATCTGTGAGGACTGAAGACTTATACAATAAGCACATAAAGGGGTAACTATTGGGCTGAGCTCTTGTGGAATTCCAGATGAAAGCACATGGAGGAAATTGTGGAAAGAGCACCTTAAGGACTTTATATATTGATCTGAAGACTTCCTGGGGATTTCGGTAAAGCACAAACGTCCATTTTCTGGCAGTAGTTCCCTTTAAAACCGCCTGTGCCCAATACAGGCAAGCATTTGTGCTGGTTTCAGTAACATTACTGACGTGTGACAAATTCAGGTAGTTCTTTTACTGCCATTCAGGGGCGGACTGACAATTCATGGGGCCCCAGGCAATAGGGGATCATGGGGCACCTGTGTCCTTGCCCACACTCAAAGTCAAAAAAACCTATAAAAGGTACCAGGGGCATTTCATGGGGCCCCCTACTGACTCCAGGCCCTTGGGCAAGGCCCGAATGCTCGAATGGTCAGTCCGCCCCTGCTGCCATTGTAAGAACCTGTTGCTATGGCAGTGACAGCTTCTTTAAGTGTTCCCACCAGTTCACAGACTGGGATATTGGTGGTAATTGAGAGCCACTCCAGGAATTTCTCCATGTAAACGAAGAGGCCAGGGATAGTGGTGGTGTCATTATCCAAAATATGGCAAAGCTCATAGTTGGGATGTGACTTGAGTCACAGGAGAGGCAGATCTGACGGGGGACTACTCTCCTCAGCCAAAGCAACTGTTGGGTGGGTGGAGCCTTATGGGGAACTGGGAGACTAGTTCCTCATCAGGTCCACCTTGTATTTATTGACAGCAGATGGCATCGGGTGGATTATAAAGCCACTATTGGTTCCCAGTTAGGTTCCACCCACCCTGCTACAAAACTCCTCGGCTATGCTCCTGTTTGTGTGATGGATGTAGAGGCTTCATGGGGGCTGGAGGGAGCGCAGTGTGGAATTTATTGGGTGAAGATACTTTAGGACACTTTACTGAAGATACTTTAGGTGCACTTTACTAAAGATACTTTAGGATCGCTTTATTGGTAACATCACAAAGGCCTGATCTGCACGGAAGAGGGGTAATTAGCAGGCAACTAGAAAGAGGTCAATCCATTACAGGCTTACTTTATGGCACAACTGATCCCTGCACAGCCATTGTCCCATTTTTATTTTAAAAAAAAGAAAAATATTTTAGTTTTATGCTTCTCAAATTTCCTTTGCAATCTCTTGCAGGCCCTTCCTGATGTGGGAAAAATAATGAAAGACTTAGGCATCGAATCAACTATCCCAAAAGAGATTCCAGAAGACAGTCCTGTAAGTATCACACATGGAGGACATTGGCCTACAAAATGGGAACATTTATTTCTCCCTGATTCTCACCCCCCCCCCCCTTCTTCTGATATCTACCAGCATTTATCCCATGCGTTCATACCTTACCACCCAATGTTTTTTTTTTTTTTACTCTTACCAGTCTGATGCTTCAGTAAAGCCTGGTGGACTTGGCTTTGAAGGCTTTTTTGGAAGACCTGGTGAAGATGTGGGATTTCCTTCTTGTGAAACATCAGTAAGTTCATATGTATTGCATTGAGCTTGAATCTACACATTAGGATGGCATAAATGCTCAATACAGGGGAAGGCTGGACAGGGGTTGGGTAGGCATTTGCCCCCCAGGTCAGTACAAATTGCACAATATATGTTGGGTTGGTGGCTTTGGGTGGAGACATCAGTTTCAGGTGGACTGATAAAAAGTAACTTTTGTTAACTTTTGTGTACAGTTTCCCAGTAGATCTAATGGTAATGAAGGTAGCTGCCTTAATTAAGTCCAGTCCCTCCTTCAGTAAAGCCCCACCCCCTGTACCTTTAGATGCCGCCCAGAGGTTTATGAAATGGCTCAAAATAGACATGATGGCCAAAAAAAAGTCTTCTATGTCACTGGTATTAATTTTTATCTATCCTCTAGAGCCGGGATCTCCAAACTTTCTAAACAAAGGGCCAATTTACTGTCGTTCAGCCTTTAGGAGGACTGGACTAAGGCTGGCCATACATTATTCAATTTTTATGTACAATTTTTCTTTAGATTTACCAAAACCATATAATATGAGAACAAACCTAAACACTTTCAATTTGCATGTAATCAGGCAGCCCCTTGCACTACATAGTTGAAGGTAAATATAAATTGAATAAGAAAATTGTATAATGTATGGCCAGTATAAGGCCAGTGGAAGTATAAAATGCCTTGGGCTTCGTGGTTAGTGGGAGTAAAAAATAAACTTGTGGTCTGTAAGAGAAGGAATAGTGCCCCATCATTGGTGTCAGGGGAGGTATAATAGTTCCCCATCATTGGTGTGTCAGTGGAGGAATAGTGCCCCATCATTGGTATCAGTGGGAGGAATAGTGTCCCATCATTGGTATCAGTGGAGGAATAGTGCTCCCATCATTGGTGTCAGTGGGAGGAATAGTGCCCCATCATTGGTGTCAGTGGGAGGAATAGTGTCCCATCATTGGTGTCAGTGGGAGGAATAGTGCCCCATCATTGGTGTCAGTGGGAGGAATAGTGCCCCATCATTGGTGTCAGTGGGAGGAATAGTGTCCCCATCATTGGTATCATTGGGAGGAATAGTGCCCCATCATTGGTGTCAGTGGGAGGAATAGTGTCCCATCATTGGTATCAGTGGCAGGAATAGTGTCCCATCATTGGTGTCAGTGGGAGGAATAGTGTCCCATCATTGGTGTCAGTGGGAGGAATAGTGCCCCATCATTGGTGTCAGTGGGGGAATAGTGCTCCATCTTTGGTGTCAGTGGGAGGAATAGTGCCCCATCATTGGTGTCAGTGGGGAGGAATAGTGCCCCATCATTGGTGTCAGTGGGAGGAATAGTGCCCCATCATTGGTGTCAGTGGGAGGAATAGTGCCCCATCATTGGTGTCAGTGGGAGGAATAGTGCCCCATCATTGGTGTCAGTGGGAGGAATAGTGCCCCATCATTGGTGTCAGTGGGAGGAATAGTGCCCCATCATTGGTGTCAGTGGGGGGATTAGTGCCCCATCATTGGTGTCAGTGGGAGGAATAGTGCCCCATCATTGGTATCAGTGGGAGTAAATAGTGCTCCATCATTGGTGTCAGTGGGAGGAATAGTGCCCCATCATTGGTGTCAGTGGGAGGAATAGTGCCCCATCATTGGTGTCAGTGGGAGGAATAGTGCCCCATCATTGGTATCAGTGTGAGGAATAGTGCCCCATCATTGGTGTCAGTGGGAGGAATAGTGCCCCATCATTGGTGTCAGTGGGAGGAATAGTGTCCCATCATTGGTGTCAGTGGGAGGAATAGTGCCCCATCATTGGTATCAGGGGGAGGTATAATAATTCCCCATCATTGGTGTCAGTGAAAGGAATAGTGCCCCATCGTTGGTGTAAGTGGGAGGAATAGTGCCCCATCATTGGTGTCAGTGGGAGGAATAGTGCCCCATCATTGGTATCAGTGGGAGGTATAATAGTTACCCATCATTGGTGTCAGTGGGAGGAATAGTGCCCCATCATTGGTGTCAGTGGGAGGAATAGTGCCCCATCATTGGTGTCAGTGGGAGGAATAGTGCCCCATCATTGGTGTCAGTGGAGGAATAGTGCCCCATCATTGGTGTCAGTGAAAGGAATAGTGCCCCATCGTTGGTGTCAGTGGGAGGAATAGTGCCCCATCGTTGGTGTCAGTGGGAGAAATAGTGCCCCATCATTGGTGTCAGTGGGAGGAATAGTGCCCCATCATTGGTGTCAGTGAAAGGAATAGTGCCCCATCGTTGGTGTCAGTGGGAGGAATAGTGCCCCATCGTTGGTGTCAGTGGGAGGAATAGTGCCCCATCATTGGTGTCAGTAGGAGGAATAGTGCCCCATCGTTGGTGTCAGTGGGAGGAATAGTGCCCCATCGTTGGTGTCAGTGGGAGCAGTGCCGGGAAGGGCTTGGAAAGGGAGAGTTCCTGCACCTATTGTCTGTGGGAAGAAAAGCCGTGATTGTATCGTTATATTTCAGGGGGAGTTTCCAAATGTGGAAAAAATCATGAAAGATTTAAGCATCGAGTCGCCCGTCTGTCAAGGAACTCCAGAAAACATGCCGGTGAGTTCTGTACACTGAAGGCATTTTAGAGACTTATTTAGGCATCATGCAGCGCTAGGCAAATCCGAATGAAGACACACCCTCGTACAAGCTCCACCCCTTGTGCCATGTGATCACACCTTGTAAAGTCGATGAGCCTGAGATTCCTGGAGGCCTGGACCCAAGAGGCGGGGATTAAAGAAAGAAAAATGTGGGGTAGTAAAGGCATGGTTCAGCAATGGCAAGCCTGCAGGGGGTTACATTAAAGTAGTACGATCCTCTGAACAAAGAGCTCTGACTTGACAATAAGTGGGCAAATATCGATGTTTTTATAATACGCAGGCAGCAAAATGGCAAACATAATACATGGGCAACAAGCTGGCAACGTTCACAATATGTAGGGTAACAAATGGGCAATAGTGACGATATGTGGGCCCACAAATGGGCAATAGTGATAATATGTGGCCACAAATGGGCAATAGTGACAATATGTGGGCCACAAATGGGCAATAGTGACAATATGTGGGCCACAAATGGGCAATAGTGACAATATGTGGGCCACAAATGGGCAATAGTGACAATATGTGGGCCACAAATGGCAATAGTAACAATATGTGGGCCACAAATGGGCAATAGTGACAATATGAGAGCCACAAATGGGCAATAGTGACAATATGAAAGCCACAAATGGGCAATAGTGACAATATGAGAGCCACAAATGGGCAATAGTGACAATATGAGAGCCACAAATGGGCAATAGTGACAATATGAGAGCCACAAATGGGCAATAGTGACAATATGTGGGCCACAAATGGGCAGATATGCGGGCCACAAATGGGCAATAGTGAAGATATGTGGGCCACAAATGGGCAATAGTGACAATATGTGGGCCACAAATGGGCAGATATGTGGGCCACAAATGGGCAATAGTGATAATATGTGGGCCACAAATGGGCAATAGTGAGAATATGTGGGCCACAAATGGGCAATAGTGAGAATATGTGGCCACAAATGGGCAATAGTAACAATATGAGAGCCACAAATGGGCAATAGTGACAATATGAGAGCCACAAATGGGCAATAGTGACAATATGAGAGCCACAAAATGGGCAATAGTGACAATATGAGAGCCATAAATGGGCAATAGTGACAATATGAGAGCCACAAATGGGCAATAGTGACGATATGTGATGGGCCACAAATGGGCAATAGTGATAATATGTGGGCCACAAATGGGCAATAGTGACAATATGTGGGCCACAAATGGGCAATAGTGACAATATGTGGGCCACAAATGGGCAATAGTGACAATATGTGGGCCACAAATGGGCAATAGTAACAATATGTGGGCCACAAATGGGCAATAGTGACAATATGAGAGCCACAAATGGGCAATAGTGACAATATGAGAGCCACAAATGGGCAATAGTGACAATATGAGAGCCACAAATGGGCAATAGTGACAATATGAGAGCCACAAATGGGCAATAGTGACAATATGTGGGCCACAAATGGGCAGATATGTGGGCCACAAATGGGCAATAGTGAAGATATGTGGGCCACAAATGGGCAATAGTGACAATATGTGGGCCACAAATGGGCAGATATGTGGGCCACAAATGGGCAATAGTGATAAATATGTGGGCCACAAATGGGCAATAGTGATAATATGTGGGCCACAAATGGGCAATAGTGACAATATGTGGGCCACAAATGGGCAAATAGTGACAATATGTGGGCCACAAATGAGCAATAGTGAAGATATGTGGGCCACAAATGGGCAATAGTGATAATATGTGGGCCACAAATAGGCAATAGTGACAATATGTGGGCCACAAATGGGCAATGGTGACAATATGTGGGCCACAAATGGGCAATAGTGACAATTTGTGGGGGCAAAAATGGGTAATAGTGACAATATGTGGGCCACAAATGGGCAATAGTGACAATATGTGGGCCACAAATGGGCAATAGTGACAATATATGGGCCACAAATGGGCAATAGTGATAATATGTGGGCCACAAATGGGCAATAGTGATAACATGAGAGCCACAAATGGGCAATAGTGAAGATAAGTGGGCCACAAATGGACAATAGAATGGCCATGCTTCATGCTGATGGCGTATCCTGCCTCCCGTTTCCTGAGTGTGCTCAGCAGAATCAAAAATCAGAGCAGGTAGGAGGTGAAATATTAAGAAGTGTTGGAGATCAGACATTGAGAAATACCTTGTTTTGTCTCTTTTGTCACAGGCAGCACCGAATGTTTTGGGCTCTCCTTCATGCTTGTTTGGTGAGTACCAGCACTTTTTTTTTTCTTAGAGAATAGGTGCAGGAACTCCCCCTTTCTGAGTCACTCCTGTCTCCTCACCCTACCCACCTCCGAGTGCCGTCCCTTGGTTCCACCTCCGAGCACCATCCCTTGGTTCCACCTCCTACCCACCTGAGCGCCGTCCATTGGTTCCACCCCCTATCCACCTCCGAGCACCGTCCTTTGGTTCCACCCTCCTACCCACCTCCGAGCACCGTCCCTTGGTTCCACCTCCGAGCACCGTCCCTTGGTTCCACCTCCAAGCACCGTCCCTTGGTTCCACCTCCAAGCACCGTCCCTTGGTTCCACCTCCAAGCACCATCCCTTGGTTCCACCTCCGAGCACCGTCCCTTGGTTGCACCTCCGAGCACCGTCCCTTGGTTCATCCTCGTACCCATCTGAGCACCGTCCCTTGGTTCATCCTCGTACCCATCTGAGCACCGTTCCTTGGTTCCACCCTCTACCCACCTCCGAGCACTGCCCTTGGTTCCACCCGCTACCCACCTCCGAGCATCGTCTCTTGGTTCCACCCCCTACCCACCTCCCTTGGTTGCACCTCGGAGCACCGTCCCTTGGTTGCACCTCCTACTCATCTGAGCACCGTCCCTTGGTTGCACCTCCGAGCACCGTCCCTTGGTTGCACCTCCTCCGAGCACCATCCCTTGGTTGCACCTCTGAGCACCATCCCTTGGTTGCACCTCTGAGCACCATCCCTTGGTTGCACCTCCGAGCACCATCCCTTGGTTGCACCTCCAAGCACCGTCCCTTGGTTCATCCTCGTACCCATCTGAGCACCGTCCCTTGGTTCCACCCCCTACCCACCTCCGAGCACAGACCCTTGGTTCCACCCCCTACCCACCTCCGAGCACAGACCCTTGGTTCCACCCCCTACCCACCTCTGACCATCGTCTCTTGGTTCCACCCCCTACCCACCTCGGGGCACCGTCCCTTGGTTGCACCTCCTACCCATCTCAGCACCGTCCCTTGGTTCCACCCCCTACCCACCTCTGAGCATCGTCCCTTGGTTCCACTTCCAGCCCACCTCTGAGCACCGTCCCTTGGTTCCACCCCCTACCCACCTCGGAGCACCGTCCCTTGGTTGCACCTCGGAGCACCGTCCCTTGGTTGCACCTCGGAGCACCGTCCCTTGGTTGCACCTCGGGGCACCGTCCCTTGGTTGCACCACCTACCCATCTGAGCACCGTCCCTTGGTTCCACTTCCAGCCCACCTCTGAGCACCGTCTCTTGGTTCCACCCCATAACCGCCTCCGAGCACCGTCCCTTGGTTCTGCCCCCTACCCACCTGCCAGTGCCGCTCCTTTTAGAACATACAGAGCCAATTACCATTTTTTGTGGTGTTAAGCAATGTGTATGGAATTTGTGCATGGAATAGATTCCCCACAGCCAGCAGCAATAGCCTCCCCAAGAAAAAGCAGCCAATCAGGCACATGTGCTGACAAGGAACATGCAGACAGGAGGCAAGAGCAGAGTGAGCAGAAATGATCATTACTTTGTAATTTACATTGTGTGCTTATTTTTTTTTTTTTTTTGTAGATGTTGGTTTTAAAGTAGAGGTGCTGAATGAAAACCAAGACCCTCAGAAAATGAAGGACCCGTCAGTTGCTGCACCGACCACCTCGGAGAAAAAAGATGACCCAACAAAGAAGGCAGAAATTGGAAAACAATCCTGATTTCTATGACTGTACACTTCTTACAATAAAACCAAAGATTTTGCAGTTTCTTCCCCTTAAAAGTGTGAAAAGCGAAAACTTTTTTTTTTTTTTTTGGACAGACTAGAGAAGGGTTGAGATCCCTATTAGGTTCAGGGAGATTTCTCTTCACTTCCTGTCTTGGAGACACAGCTGGAAGTCTCCTACAAATTGAGGGTGACGGTTGTCACCAGAACAGGTTTACCCATTGGAAGATTTTTCTTTCACTTCCTGCTCCCGAAGCTGCTGTTAGAAACCACGGGGCCTCATGCAGCCAACCTGACCGGGCCCCCATTCCCCCCCAAAAAAAATCCGTTTACTAGTCTTCAGTTATGAATGGACACAACAAGTGATTGGTACCGATCACTGATTGTGTTCATTCAGGAAAGAAAGGGGTTGGCAGATGTGACATATTTACCGGATCCCTCCCCCGCTCTCCATCCAGAAGCATCCTATCGTGTGCTTGTGCAGCTGCCGTTGGGAAAGAGAGCTGGGAAGCTGCCAGCACTGCGGAGGGGTGGGGGCCTGGGCAGAATGGGGAAACGTGGTGCACAGGGAGGGTGATGGCAGGGGGGGGCATTTACTGCAACCGATCCCCTGCATGGCTCTCTCTGCAGCAGCTGAAACCTGGCTTCTTCCGGGGGGAGAGGAAGGTGTGCCCATTCCCTCCACTCAGGTCTCAGATTACACTCAGTGCCCTGCTCTATGCTGTGCTGTATGTAACATCAGATCCCCCACCCCGTTTGCTGGAGCTAAGGAATGCTGTATAAATGTTGTACTTTGAACGTTTGTAGAGAAGAGAGGGCCGCAGATAAATAGGTACAACTTTGTTTCATCTCTGTGTGTCACCTGAGGTTTACAATCACTTGTTTTTTGTTTTTTTTTACTAAAAAAAATACAGATTTCCCAAAAAGTTTGACCTTTAAAAAAAATTGTACTTTGCAATCTCTCGGTGGCAGGGTCATCCTCTCTACCGTACTGCCTTATAATATTCGTTTTCTTTTCGATTTTGTTTGCTGTTTAAATGAGAATTCCAGGCACTATAACAATATAAAATGAAAAGCCTGTTAACAAAAAAACAAAAACAAATATTCACCTCCAACTTCCCCCGCAGAACTTTTTTTTTTTGCTGCTGGGTATCCTCATTCTGATGGGCAGCATCATTCAGCCTGCTTCCTCTGAGCCCAGGTCATTCTGGACCCGCCCCAGGCTGTGGCTGGACAGGGAAAGGAGAAGCAGCAGAGTAATGCGCTCAAGTAATCAAGTCTCTGTCACTCTGCTCTCTCCTCCTATTAGCATTCGTCTTGTCAGCACACTAAGTGGCTCCTTTTATAACATTGGGGCCTTTCCAATCGCAGGCGGAGGCGCAGCGATTCTGCCCGCGATTTGAAAATGCGCGATCGCGCTTGAGGTGCCAATCATTTCAATAGCATCTAAAAACACGGAGCGTTTTTTTGCCACGACAAACGTGCCACAGCCGTGCAAATAAAATCACGGAAAGGATGGTTCCGGCACCTTTTTTGAGCGCCACCTAATTTTGTTGGCGCAATCGCTGTGTTTTTTTCACACGGAAAAACGTGCGATCGCAGCAAAAACTCCCTGTTTTTATGAAATATATGAAAAATATTTTTAAAAATACATTTCAAATATACTGCATGTCTTTAAAAAATTGACATTTTTGGAATGCATTTACAAATATATGTGAAAATTACTTTTTTATATGTTAAAAAAAATCTAAAGAATATATTTAAAAAAATATTTTTTCATATATTTTTTCATATATTAAAAATGCATTTCAACATGCAGTATATATATATTTTAAATAATTATTGCTTTTTTTTTTTTTTGTGTATGGCACCTCCAAACGCGATATCACATTGTCACACTCCGTTTTCAATCGCGGGCAGAATCGCGGCGATTCCGCCTGCGATGTGAAACACTCCAATGTGAATGGAGCCTAAATGAGCCTACCTTCGGCTTTACCGACCTCTGCACCAATGAGGTCGCCTCTAATATTGTATGCAAACACTACCCTGACCGCTAACATTTGCATAGGGTGAAGGATCCTCCCGCCCCCGAGGAACAGGGCTTGGGCTTTGTGATTGGCTAATCAGCCAGCAAATTGACGTTTTTTTTTCTGCAGCTTTTATTATGTTATACGGCTTTGCAAAATTACTTCTTATGTATTCTTGTACTCTCGGATTTTTGTTTCTCTGTTTCTGGTTTTATGCTTTTGTTTAAACTTGCATTTAAATAAAGAATTGAAATACAAAAAAAACAAAAGGATCGTATTGCTGGACGAATAATCCGTGATCACTGATGATATGAATGACTAGGGATATATCTGTTGACCTGTAGAGCATGTGTTGCGGCAAAGCGCATTGACGCATGCTTTGATTGGCATTTATTGTACGCACCTCTGCAGTAAAGCGCACACAGCGTGCATATGCCTCACTGCTGAAAATGCTGCAGTCGCATTTCTTTCATGCCAGTTCGTTCAAAATAAATGATTTGCCATGATGCAGAAAAATGTAATGCGTTTACTCGTATCTGTTCATGCAACACGTATTTACAAAAAAATTGCTATCCCGGTATTTGTACAAATATCCCCCGCAATGTCTGAAATATGTGCGGAATGTCACTTCTATGTATTTCCTATGATCGTGAGCGCCATCTAATGGCCTTAATGAGGAAGTTTCCTGATTGCAATGTTTAAGAAATATACCGCTTTATGGTCACTAGATGGAGCCGACAATCACAGGAAATAGATTTAAAAAAATGGCATTTATGAGATTATGGGGATTATTTGTGTGAATGGTGATACATTCACACAATGGATTATATATATATTATACCACATAGTAAGAGTGGACCCTTAACCTCCCGTTGCGCCAAAAAGATGGCTACAGCGCAGTCATCCAGTTCTGGGAGGGCATCTAAAAATTCACTATATCCGCTCTCCCCGGACCCCGCATTCACTGTATCCGCTCTCCCCGGACCCCGCATTCACTGTATCCGCTCTCCCCGGACCCCGCATTCACTGTATCCGCTCTCTCCCCGGACCCCGCATTCACTGTATCCGCTCTCCCCGGACCCCGCATTCACTGTATCCGCTCTCCCCGGACCCCGCATTCACTGTATCCGCTCTCCCCCGGACCCCGCATTCACTGTATCCGCTCTCCCCGGACCCCGCATTCACTGTATCCGCTCTCCCCGGACCCCGCATTCACTGTATCCGCTCTCCCCGGACCCCGCATTCCCTGTATCCGCTCTCCCCGGACCCCGCATTCCCTGTATCCGCTCTCCCCGGACCCCGCATTCCCTGTATCCGCTCTCCCCGGACCCCGCATTCACTGTATCCGCTCTCCCCGGAACCCCGCATTCCGCTCTCCCCGGACCCCGCATTCACTGTATCCGCTCTCCCCCCACACCCCGCATTCACTGTATCCGCTCTCCCCGGACCCCGCATTCACTGTATCCGCTCTCCCCTGACTCCGCATTCACTGTATCCGCTCTCCCCGGACCCCGCATTCACTGTATCCGCTCTCCCAGGACCCCGCATTCACTATATCCGCTCTCCCCGGACCCCGCATTTCCCTATATCCGCTCTCCCCGGACCTCGCATTCACTATATCCCTCTCTCCCCGGACCCCGCATTCACTGTATCCGTTCTCCCCCTCTCACCCGGACCCCGCATTTACTATATCCTCTCTCCCCGGACCCCGCATTCACTATATCCGCTCTCCCCGGTCTTGTGACTATAAAAGAGGTCGATGCAACTGCCACTTTAATTTTCCAGCATGCTTCACCACATACTGTGTGTTATTGTTCACAGCGGCTGTATGTGTGACAGGTCAGCACACGCACACACCCAGGTAAGGTATCTGTGTGATCACACGTGTCACATGATCCACACCCTGTGATGATGTCACCACCAAACACAACACGTGCCTCCTTCTTACCACACATACCATAAGACTGATATATCCAGTCTGACTACATCCTCCGTCCCCGAGTCCCACTCCTCCTCCCATACGCCGTTAGCCGCACTCCTCTTCCCTACGCCGTCCCCGAGCCGCACTCCTCCTCCCTACGCCATCCCCGAGTCGCACTCCTCCTCCCTACGCCGTCCCCGATCCGCACTCCTCTTCCCATCGCCGTCAGGACCTGTCTGGAGCCAGCTCAGGTAGGGACCTTCTCCTCGATGAATTCCACAAAGGGTTCCTGTAGACTTGTATTATCCCTATCACTCGTTTTTTTTTTTTCCGGAGTTCCGGGTCTAGAAAACGAATCCCCGGTCATGTATGTCCCTTTAAATGTCTAGTTTTCTATACGCAGCCGGTATATAGTGTACCTACGTTACGGGTATTAAACACAAAAGCAAACTTTTATTATATTGCAGCTTACCAATTCTCAGATGTGATTTTTTTTTTAGGCTTTCTTTATTTTATTTTCATCTGGTGATGTTTTTTAATCTCTCCTGCAGATGTAGCAGTTAGAGGGTTGAGACGAACCATTTACAACTGACAGGAGTGCTTACAAGGATCAGTTTTTATTGATGTAAATCCTTTAGCTTACAAGGATCAGCTTTTATTGATGTAAATCCAATAGAAAACAAAACTGTTTGCTGTAACTCAGGGGTGCTCGATGTTTATATACATTCGGGGGGGGGGGGGAAATAAGGTTCAGGAGGGCGGGATTTTCAACACGAAACCAAAATCAAGAACGCGGAGACATGACCTCCAACTAACTGGAGGAAAGTTCAAAACTAATCTCATATTTTTACTGAAAGAGTAGTTGATGCTTGGAATAGACTTCCAGCAGAGGTAGTGAGCCGGTCACCAGTAACACCTCGGTCACATCAAGCCCGACTTGCAGTAAAGTCGCACAGTTTCAAAGTCGGGGGGACATGCCGATTTCAGGTGCGATATGCAAGACATCTGACACAGATGGATATAGAAAAAAACAAAACAAAATAAACC